TCATTTACATCTGTCGACTTATTTTCTTGTATATAGTTTTCATTGACAGTGGCTGCTGAAGCTTCAAACTTTTTGCTCATTCCTTTTTCAGCCCGTCTAATCAGGCCGACATTGGTGAACTTTGCCTAGCAATTTCTATGGTACTTTAACTCTCCACGGTACTCAGCCAAAGGATTTTTCATGGACTGAATTTTTTTCATTAAGTTTTTGTTCTTTTCAGCGATGTCTTTCTGCTCACCATTGTATAGTAACCAAAGCTCGTGACAATGTAAAACTTTTTTCAAAGATGTCTCGGTAAAATCAGTCAATGGCCCATTTTTCACCTTTAAAATGGATTACACATCCCCGCAAGCTCGCCTTTTTGTTGTTTTGATCATTGTGCAAGTTACGTGCGTGGTCCCGAAAGAATAAGTATTAATTTTGGTTCTATTTCCACACGCAACAAAGATAGTGTGAACCAGTTATATTTCTCAAACAGTTTATTAACCAACGCGTAAATATTAAAGTAGATAAGTATCTTAATTATAATATCAATAAGTATGAATAAAACTTATCTCCTCTGTCTGAGTACAACCGTGAGTCTTGACCTACATCCCATACGCAATACAGTATGTTACAGCAAGATATAGTTAACCACAATAACAACAAATGCGGTTGCGGTTTCAAAATATGTTTACGCATGTAAGCAAGCTTCTAGCGCATGCAAGCAAGCTTCTACATTATGTCCTAATTAGTAATGACATTGCAAAATGGATTTTAAAGTTACAATATAAAAATATGGAATGCTTAGTAATATAATATAATATAATAGTAGTTTATAAATGATATTACATGATAGTAGTTGCTATCATGTAACAGTGCACCCGCAATTTTTGCTATATTGTCATCAGTTTCACAAATAAAACAAGATGGCGACAGGTAAAACTTTAAACGAATATTATGAAACTTTGGACTACTGAAACTCCAAAGATTGCAATTTCAAGAGATGCAAATAACTTAAATCATATTCAGTCAGTAAAAATAAGTAGTTTTCTATGATTTTTATGTAGTCATGAATTTCGGCATTTAGAAATCATTTTTTAGCACATTTTCTTGATACAGAATACGGCCTATTAAGTTTATGGAGAAAATAACTAATTTATACATCAACAGTTATGCGTCGGAGTTGTACAAAAGCGCATGCGTTAGATGTGAACAACACAGGACATGTTCATGCACGTTCCTATCATGTTCAAAGCTAAGCCGCATATTCACGTGTGTTTTTAAAAGTTAACTATGCTACATAGGATAGTAACTTTAACTACCTTTTAACTGCAGTTAGCGCTAATTACTTTTTTTATACAACCGGCTTAACCGCATGGTTTAATTTAACTACTTTTTCACAGCAAAAAGTGTCGTTAAAAAGTAAGTTAATAGCTGAATACCACAGGCACCTGATAATTAGACGGGCATGTTATCTTTTAGCAGTTAAGCCTAAATTGAGATTTTATGCATAAAGGTAGTCGACGATTCCTTTTTGGCTTCAAGTGGTAAATAAAGCTCCAATATTCAAAAGCAATTGTTCTTTTTCCATTGTACATTAATCTCTCGTTCTGCTCTATGTGAATATTTACTTTGACTTAGTATTGAATAATTAAAATCATTATTGTATATAAAGCATCGATTAATCAGTATTCATTTCATTTTTCGATGCTTTTCCTTGTGTCCTTTAGTTCCTACTCAGCTATTCTATTTCTCCTCGCAGAGCACTACTGTCTTTTTGTTGCTTGTTTCTTTGGCATTTAGTTTTCTTGTTGGGATAAAATACCTCTTATATCTGTCTCAGCTTTGATTGTTAGTATCTCTGGAACGGCTTCTCATGTTGTATTGCTATTTCGCTTCATTATTCTTATTTTTTTGTCTTGCTTCTTAGACTTTGAGTTATCTTTGTGCTGGGATTTATGTATCATTATATATATTTTACAATTGGGTGATTCAAAGGCTTCTTAAAGCGTGTTTCGTCGATACTATGTATTCTTGTATGTTTTGTTTGGTTGCTTTGCGTTCTGTTTCTTTTGTTTTGTTTTGTAGGCCAATTTGGGTTTCGTTATTTTGGCCATTTTGGTTATATATGTTCTTAAATTTAGAGTGGCACATATGTGTTATTGATTTTTCTTTGAGAGTATTCCTTTATCTGCAGGTTGTTGGGACAAACTTAGATTTCCCATTTTTAGTTTGCACTTTGCAATAATTATTTTTAAGATTTGTTCGCCTGTACTTTTCCATCTTTCCTTGTAATACAGTACACATATTAGTGTTGTTTATTTATGTTCAACCTTGTGCACTGATGCTTATGTAAGTTTTGGGAAAACATAGAAAAAGAAAACGTAATGCATTAAAGATTATTTCTTTAACGGTGATTTGCTTTTTGATTTCATTTGTCTGATCTAAATTTATCAAGATTGTGGAAAGAAGATCTTGGTGTAGCCTAAGAAACCGATTTAATAATTATTTAAAACAAAGACAAAACAGTAAGTAAATTACTACGCACATGTTTGCGTTCATTAAGTAAATGTCAAAAGAGATTTAATAATTACAAGTGAATAAGATTAATTTATGTTTTCTATAGATTGTTGAAGTATAAGTTTGATTTTGATATTAGAAAACGTACATTTATGCTTGCTTTTTTGTCCATTTCTTGATTACAGATAACACAAATAGAAAAAAAAGAACTTTATGCTCAGTTGAAGATAACATTGCTCGGAGAGCCATCATGTATGTTTTTTATGGTTTTTAGGGGACGATTGCATGGATCAATTTTAGCCCGGGCTTAGATTTAATCTTGTTGATGGGGCTAAAATCAGCAAGGGCCTGTTATAATATCCCATCAAACTAACGTACGCGATTACACAAGCAAATTTCTAGCCCTTGCTGAAATTTCAGCATGCTTAATTGCGTACCTTTTGTTTATGTTGACGACAACAAATTAACGACACAACTGGCAATTATTCTTCGGACGAGCTTCAAGACAAATTTTTTTACCATTTAACATTTATATTTAGAATTCATTCAATGTATATGTTAAAATAAAAAATTGTCTCCGTTTTTTTAATTGCCTCTTTAGTTAAACATTTTTATTCGGAGTGTGTTTCATATTATTCTACTTAAAATTGCTGACTGGTGATTGATTTTGGTATTATATACGTAGCAGCCTTTCTATAGTCTTGGCTTTCCTGCTTATTTGTAGCAAAGATTCTAGCTGTAAAGATTGCTTTGTGGGAGGTTTAGTAACGAACCGATTGCCTAATGCCAACATTTTTAATGTACAAATATGTTGAATCTTATGTCAAGCTGCAATGCTTTTTTTTTTAGCAAAATGTCTTAGCACCTTTAAAAGTTGTGAAAGTTACTCAAAATCCATACGATGAGAAGAAAAAATCTGTTAACAATGCCATTTGGAAGACAATCGCCGATTACGTAGTTTAATAACTGTGATGAATATGCATTTAAATTTAACAAAAGTTCTGAGAGTAACAATTCTGAGAGCTGTTTTAATAAAACGTTGAAAAAAGAAAAAAGGTGCGGAAGAAAAAGCTTCGGTTGTCAATACTGGACCATGATGTTTTACAAGAAAGCTAATTGGATTAGAGTGCTTTTTAATCGCGCCTCAAAAGTTTGCAGCATTCAATACTTTTTATATGGCTATACCTATATTATTTTCTCACATCTTTTATTCACTGACCTAAGATTTGTCGATATAATCAGCAAAGACAATTTCTTACCAAAGTGACGGCAACACGAAATTGACCCTAAGGGGAAAAGGGCTAAAGGACCAATTACATTGACAAGCAGCAGCCCGTGATGAAATTCTACATGCTTTGCAAGAATGAAAATTAACCCCGGACGTTGTGTCATTTCTTTGTGAAGACTTTTACGATTGCATGGAACACAAAGTTAACTCAATCAATGCATATTTTAATACATCTATACTTTTCGATATTTATTCACTTTGAATGATCATTTATTCACTCGACTCTTTGGTGTTAAGTAACCATTTAAACATTCAATTATTAAGGAAATTATTACGATCATAAACTGCGTCAAAAATTAATTTATTTTTTTAAGATTATACACAGCTGAGGAGGATGAAAAGGTTCTCAGGTTCACAGAAGAAAATAAAAGAAAAGTTTATTCCAACGAGTTTTAGGAAAATATTGAAAAAGAAAACGTAATGCATTTTCACTTCGACTTCTTACACAGGAATTAAACAATTTTACTAAAGAATCTATCTTCATCTTTTTTGTTTAGCTCTTAAAGCTCGTACCAACTCCCCAAGAAAAAAATCTGCTCAATGATCATAGTAAGGAGAAAGATAATTTTGCCAAAGCAGACAGATTTTTATACGAAATGTTCAAGTCGTATATGTGAAATAACTGCTTTAATTTCGTGTACCAAACGTACAAATCTCTTTTTTTGCTTTTAGAATCAACCGTTACGAACAACGATTGGCAACTTTGTTTTACGTCAAGCGTTTCCCAGGGCGAATGGGCGATATAAAAGCAAATGTTAAAGGTAAAAGATCATAGAATTTCTGGGAGGAATTCCAATCTCTATACTTACATAAATAATAGCAAACGCAATTAGGATTTGTTTTAGATGCAGCACACTTTCAAAAAAATTATCGCCAATTATGAGATAAGAGTACTATAATTAAACAATTTAAATCCGACATGTCACGCTGATATCCTCAAAGTACTTTTTGAAATCTTATCCGAACGATAGCAAGCCCGTGCACTCACACCCTAAAAAGTAATTCTGAATCCATTTTTTTAAAAGATGTCATTTTATTGCTTGAAGTAAATGTCTGTTGTACATGACTACAATACATTTTTATTTCAACAGCTTTGATAGAAGCATCTAAGCAAAAGTTTCGCAGCAGAAAATTCCGTGATTTACTTGAAGTTATCTTGGCCTTTTGGAAATTATATGAGTCGTGGAGCAAGAAAAAACGCTTCAGTGTTTAAAGTTGCCAGTATCAATAACACCATATTCAAAAATCCAGTGTATAGCATGTTATTGATAATGGCGATTATAAACTACATTGTCATTCTTTTGGAGCAAAAGATTTGTGTGGAAGTATTTATAGATTCATTTTTTAAAATTAAATTTGATGGTCTCGTCTTGGGTTCTTGCAGTTTCCGGCCATACTGCAGCTTGAGGAGGAAATAGATGATGTTAGGACAGCTGCTAAAGTCAGGTGAGGATAGAATGGGATCATAAATTATGGATTTTTATCATTGATAGGAAAGATTGATTGCTCTAACGAAATTTTTTTCCAGTCTTGTAGAGTTTGAAAAAGACGTAAAGAATTTAAAAACCGAACACAAAACAGTTGAAAAGGTTTGTGATTCGTCCTTAGAAAAAGAGATAGGTCTTTAACTTACAACTGCTTCAACTTTTCTTACAGGAGTATGAGTATCAGTGTAAAAAGAAGGATAAATTATCTGGTGATATTTTCGTTCAAGACACTGGAGCTTTTCTCGCAGCTGCAGAAGTGTCGTTCAATGAGCTTGATGATTCCTGGAAGGAGATGAAAACAAGAGTGAGAATTTTTTTATTTTTATCTTCAGCCATGAAAAAGGACACATTAAATATGTTTCTACTTTTAGTACGAGAAATCTGTTTCGGCGTTTGGTGAACAATTAAAAACCAGACTCCCATGCACCCGTAAGAACAATTAAGGTACGCAATCGCCCTTGTCCTTTCGTTACCAGAGATATTAAACAACTCATAGATAACAGAAACAGCCTCCATCGTCGATTTCTCCAGACGCGTGACGCGCTGGATTGGAAAAAATATAAAGCCTCACGAAACACCGTCAAACGGGTTCTTACTGAAGCAGAGAGAAGTTACGAGATATATGAGATGTATGCGCCATGATGGCAGCTTATCACACAAAGTGGCTCTACAAAATTTTATTCGTATGCTATTTTATAAACTTAATGTGGATTTATAATGATGTTTAACTACTATCAAGACTTCTTTTGGTACAACAAAACTGGTCTTCCTCAACAAACACGCCGCCAAAGGAGATATTTTACACAAATTTATGCTGCGACATTCAAGACAGCAATCAAGCATTTAAAAGGAGAATACAGCTTCGCATTGGTTCTACCTTGTCTGACCCGCTAACCATTAGTCACGGAGTCCCCCAAGGAGCCATCCTTTCACCATTACTGTTTTGCATCTATACTAACAACCTTCCAAACACATCTTTAACTTGCGAAATCGAATCCTACGTAGACGACTCGAAAATTATCAGATCTTTCCACATTCCAGTGTCCGAAAACAGCAATGCTGGAAATAGAGGAAGATCTCCACAGAGTCGCAATTTGGTGCTGTGAAAACCACCTCCTTATCAATCCAGAAAAAACAAAATTTCTTTTGCTTGGCACGCGACAACTTATAAATAGACTGCCGGCGCAGCCATCCCTGTCCTTCCTAGGTAGAATCCTGACTCCTGTGAGCTCAGCCAAAGACTTAGGTTTGACGTTGGATTCTCATCTATTGTATGATGGTGACATCTCTAAGGTAGCGTCTTCATGTCTGTCCAAGTTAATGCAAATAAACCGTGTAAGACAAAGTTTTGACCAAACCACACTTCTGAAAATCATGTCTGCCTTAGTTTTCAGCAAAATGTTTTATTGCTCATCCGTGTGGTCGAATACCACCAACAAAAATATAACAAAACTTCAACTGCTGCAGAACTTTGCCTGTAAAATCGTTACGGGCACCAGGAAATATGACCATGTTTTGCCACTCTTGCCCCAATTAAACTGGAAGCCTGTTCAACAGTGTCTAGACTATCGGGACTTAGTCTTGACGTACAAATGTGTAAATAACCTTGCCCCCGAATATCTCTGCAAAAAGTTCCATAAGAGTCCTCACGATCGGGCCACCCGTAATAGAGACCTATTTCAAATTCCGATGTTCAAAACATCATCGGGCCAACGCACATTTTCATATTGGGCAGTCAAATTGTGGAACAGTAAGAAAGCTTTAAAAGATCTTTTGTAGTTCCATCTTGTAATGTTACTTTTATCTTTAAAATCCTTTTAATAATAATCTTTTTTACATACATTTATAAGACAAATATGTATATGTATTCAATTTTGTAAATAGCTACTGAAAAGCCCTATAGGGAGTACCTATTGTTAGTCATTAAAGTTCATTAAAGTTCATTAAAGACCATTACCTCGGAATTGTTCTTTGGCATTTTTAACACATTTTTAGTATTTTTTGCCGTAAGTCTCTTTTTGTTGTTTTAGTTCTGTTTAACGCATGCGCAGTATATATAAAATAACAATAAATTGAGTGAACTGAGTCTTTGTTTCAGGAGGTGAAGAATGAGAATGAAAAACGTAAGAAAAAAAAACTAGAGGAAGAAAAAAGAGCGAAAGATCAAGCTGAGGTTAGAAACAATGAAAGTGTCCTTTTATACCTTGTAGAGCGAGCTATCACAACGATGTCAGTGTAGGCATGGGCGTCAATCCTGCGATAATTGGGGGGGGGGACCATATTCATATATTCTGTAACGCCAGGCTGATTTCTTATGAAAGTGATATTGTTTTGAAAAGAAATTAGCCAGGCATAGCAGCATATATGAATATGGTCCCCCTGATTAAGACAGGATTGACGCCCGTGAGTATGTTTGATGATTTCGTCATGTGTTTTCAAGCTATAATCGCTTAGGTCTGACATACTGTATTTTGTGGCTTACATTGACGAGTTAGTTTGATTTAACAATTAGGAATGTTAACGAACATTTTTAACTTTACTTAACTTTTAAAAACAGTTCGCGCCAATTAGTTTTTTATACAACGGACTTAACCGCGTGGTTAAATTTAACTACCTTTTAACTGCAAATAGTGTAGTCAACAAATAGTTAAGAGCTTTATACAACAGGCACCTGATAATTAAGGCGAGCATGTTATCCTTTACCAGTTAAGCCTAGATTGAGATTTTATGCATAAAGGTAGTCGACGATTCTTTTCTGGCTTCAAGTTTTAAATAAAGCTCCAAAATACAAAAGCAATTGTTCTTGTTCAATTGTACTTTGATCTTTCGTTATGCTCTATGTGATTATTTACTTTGACTTATCTTGAATAATTAAAATCATTATTGTATATAATGCATCTATTAATCAATATTCGTTTAATTTCTCGATGATTCTCCTTGAGTACTTTAGTTCCAAACTATCTACAATTAACTACAAATTTTGACGGTAAGTTTGTAGATTAATGGCATACATGCGTAGCACATTTGTTGTTCCAATCAATGTAAAAATCTGACACAAAACTTAAATCTTTTATAGTACAATGGATAAACAATTAAAAAGAGACGGTAAGCATTCAGTTATTATTGAAACCACGTCCATAGATATAGAAAGACTAACTGTGCGATTGCTGATAAGCCGTCATATTGCGTAGCAAGTGCCATTTCGGAACTCGCAAAATTATTGTTACTCATTTACTGTTAGTGATAAAATACAGACAATAGGTTTTCCGTCTTTTGCTTCGTTTCATTGCCTTATAACTCTTCAGGCCGACAACATTTGTAATCGAATCGTCATTACAAGTATCTAAAGTAATTAAATTAATCTTAATGCTACATTTTATATAATTCTGATGAAAATATCATTTGCTAAATTTTATGTTAAGTGAAAACTTGGTAATTTTGGTGCGTATGCCCCCCAAATTGATGATTTTATTGGCATTTATCAATCATGAAGCATATTACTGTAATGGATAAAGCATTTACAAAAAGATGGAGATATATTACATAAAAACTTAGTACTTCCTACAATGCCCATACTTTTTATAAAACCTAAAATGTCAAATTGACATTGTAGTTAAGAATGCAATCACTAATTTCTGGTAAAAGATATAATATACTTTTCAATATATGGCATGTAATTATAATGTTGAGTTTAATTGTGAAGCTTAAGTACATTATAAGTAAAAGTTGACATTGATACATGCATTGATGTAGAAAAGGGTAGTTAATTCTTCATGGTTTACTAACAACTAATCAAGGAAGAGACAATGCTGCAGGTTTGGCTAATGATATTTCTTTATTTTTTACTGATACCACTATCAGTGGCTTATCTAGCAAATATTTTTTGGTCAGGTATTGCATACAAAGCCCCATGCCATACAAAATCATGATTTTCAATCATACGTAAAGTAAGACATAAGTACTTTATTGAAGTTTAATTTACAAATTTTAAATTAGAAACAAAAATTATAAAGGTTTCTAAGAAGTCAAAATAAGAATTACTGTCTTAGTTTTAGATATCAACTTTATAATAAAACCGTAACTTAGTAATACAACAACAAATATTCAGACATGCATGTACTGGTAAAGATTAAAAGAGAATTCAATTTTTGAAGAGTAGCAATATTTCATCATCCCATCCTTGATGTAATTTAAAATTAAAACATTTATAATTCTTGAAACATTTGCAAACCTTTCAAAAAGTACAAATAACTTACAAAAAATCTTGAAAGGAGAACTCAGCTTAAAATATTCACATATGCGTAATTTCCTACCTATTGTTTATGATGACGACAACAAATTAACGACAACTGTTCAAGTCAATTATTAACAAACTTTAACACAAATACAATCGAACTAGTTCATCCAATGATTTCTCTCAATCTCCAACCATCAACCAAAACGTATCCAAATTTTGGATACCTTATAAAGGCTTACAAGGAACAAAAATTATTTATAAATTTCTTAAAAAAACTTTGTAAATATCTCATCAAACCAGTTTAATTTATTATTATTTTTGAAACAAAAAAGTCGCTTTTTTTACTTCCAACGAAGACAAAATCTCACCCTTGTCACGTTTCAATGTCGTATGACAAATTACTTCCCAGGTTGTAACAAATCTTACATTGCTAAAACTAAGAGATGACATAAAACCCGACTTTATGAGCATACCACACAACATGAAACAAACGCTATTGTACAAAAGTTCTTAGAAAACCAAAAAGCACAGAACATTACATATCACAACAACAGCACACTTGATCATAAAACACTTTTTGAAAAACCTAATTCAAACATTACCTAACTCGTACTTAACAACTATAAAATATTTTCTTCGTTACTTTCTTAAACAGAAACCAACTCTTACTAACGGAAGCACTCTATTAAATCACACAAAGCAAAACTTAATAATGGAATTAAAGCCAGCAAGGAACTGTCGCTATTTGCTTTCACTGCCTCAATCAACTAATCATTCCCATCCAACACACATCCTGCACTTTCGCTAAAATGACTTAACCAACATATAAGTAGAGCTTCTGTTGGCTTGTAAATATAGTCTGAAT